TAATTTTAGATACCTTCTTTCAAGGAAGATAGTATTTCACAGCCTTTGATGGCAAACATATGGTACCCAAAGGAAGAGAATCAGTAACCCAGGATGGTGAAAGCAAAATAGGATCCCACAGAACCTAGAGGGAGAGGTACTTCAGTCGGGTAATATCTCATCTTATGCAAATAATATTACATACTATTTGTCATTTGATCTATTTATTTACGTGTAAAACACCATAAATCGTAGTAATCTCTGCTTTGGTCTTCTTCATATTAATTTGCATATTTCATTTATTCCCTTTACAAGTTGAATCTCTTTTCTATTCTTAATTTTTTTCCCACTTTTCCCATATACAATCAATCATATCATTTGCTTTAAGCAAATATTTTTTGAGAGTTTAAGGAGACCAATGTTTTCAAAGTCGTTCTGTGACTTACCATGTTACTCTATGTGTATAGTGCGGAATTCAAAATTAGAAATACTTTTTTTCTGGCACTAGAAGAGCGGTATTTGGTCTCCATTCACTTTAAAACTTGAATTTTCCAAAGGCATAATGGTGTGTAATGAATAAACATTTTTTCCTTGAGTACAGAAAGAAAGGACTGGAATAGGATATAAATACCTTTCTAATGGTAATTATAAATACAGAGTAGATACACACAAAAATAAGAACATATAGCATATATGATAATATACATATTTTGGTAGATAAAACATATACTTAAGGTAAAATGCACACTTATTTAAAACTGCCTGCTTCCAGTTTTTTAACCAGACAGAGAAATAAAAAGAGATTTTGTACTAGGCCACTAAATATAGCAGTGCAGAGTATTGGATTATGTACACACGTTTTTCCTAAAATAAACTGAATTGTTTCTTTAATATCTGGCTGTCAAGAAATTTCATAATAATAATTTCTCAGAAATGTCTCTGAGGCGAATACTGCAAAGTAAAATCAAATAAAGCTGAAATAGAAACTGTCCACTTAAAAACCCTTGATAAGAAAGAAGTACAGATAAATCCTAGAGCTTATTTGTATAGCTTCAACCTGAAAGAAGCATATAATTATTACAGTGGATGTTTACTTAGAAATTCAAAGTCAAATATAGCAACACTATATAAAAAAGCTTTTAAAAGTAGTTTTCTCTTTAGAAGTGTGCACTCTCTACATCTATTATAAAAAAAAACATAAAAGTATGAGGAGTTAATTGGTTTACTATACCCCAAATATCTCTTAAGTGAATATTTGTGGTAATAATAAACAGAAAATGTTGCATTCAAAATAGCCTCAAAATTAGTCATCTTGAGGTATTTTTGAAATAATTTTAAAAACACTTTAGAAATAATTTATGAGTAACCTTAAGCATGTTGCTTTTAAAAATATATATTTTTTGGTGATAGGAAAGGAAACAAAATTCATATTACTATTTAAAAATATTTATAGAATTATCACAATTTATATTATTGGGATTAGAAACTTTAAACAATTTTTCCTCATGTGATTATCATAACAATTTCTAAATCTTAATACAGTGAATATTTTACAGTAACTTTTAGTTAAATAAGGGATATTCAGACAATTTATTTCTAAATATATTTACTACTCAGTCAGGCAATTGTAAATGTATTGTCCACAGAAAAGTATTTACGTTTTTAAATGTAGATGTTAATCTAATAAATAAGTAAATAAATAAGTAAATCAGTAATTGTAATTACATAATTAAGGACCACAAATTGTTTCTAAAATGTTAACATATTCTTCCACCAGAGGGCAACATTCTCAACACATTTAAATGATTTCTCAAAAATATACACACAGGCATATAAACAAATGTAAACCTGTTACATTACTGTTGGGTAATATATGGGTCTCAAAAAACCCACAAAAACCCTATAAATAAAATTATTTAAACAATCGCACATAAAACTCAATATCTATTCATAGTAAAACACAAACGATAAGTTTACTCTTTATACATATTTAAGAAGTTAGAACTTTCAGAAAGGAGCATATTTCTGTATATTATTGACATTTTTCATTTTACTATTAACATTTAGCTAAAATACAGTGGAAAATTCTTAGGGGAGAGGAACAAAGAAAAAGAGGTTTTACATCAATGAATAAAGTAATGATGTAAATAAAGTAAAGTACCATCTCTTCCACCTACATTTTTACAGGTGGAAGAGATGATAGAGATCACCTACTACAAGACTTCATTTGTGCCTCTAAGGGAACTGAAATTTATTAATGTTATGTGACTGATTCATAGTTACAGGGATGATAATCTGCAGAATTAGGACCCAAACCCAGGTCAGCTGATATCACATTCCTTACTCTAAGCTGTTGATACCCAAATGTGATCCTTGGGCAAGCAGTTCTAGAATCTTGTCAGAATTGCTGTATTTTAAATTCCACTCTTGACCTATTGAATTGAAATCTGTATTTTCACAAGATCTTAAACTTCCATAAGATCTTAAACCTCATCATCCATTGCATGAATTAAGTGTCACTTTCCTCCTGTATAAAACGGAAATAACACTATTTTAGTTTAAAAAATATTATGAGGAATAAATGAGATCATCATGAAGTAAAAGCCATTCATAAATTTTAATATGCTACACATGTAAGTTACATTCATTCAAAACTTTTCCTGTTCAGAGGGCTTGGGAAGGGGGACAATTTTTCCCCTAGAGGAAAACTTGTGTGATGGTGCAATTTAAGGCACTGTTAAAATTGGATGTAAGACACTGGGGATAAGGGAGAGTGTCCAAAGAAAGGGAGACTTTTTTTTTATATCCCCAGATTAATACCATATGTATAACTACTGGTATTTCTTTGTATAAAGATAAGTCTGATGAATTTATGGTCACAAAAGTATATGTTCAGTGTTTGGAATTTGGGGCCACACATGAAAATCTGTTGGGTTAACAAATAGTATTTGAATATATGTCTCTTATGTTGGGAGCAGCTATTAATTTAAAGATAGCCTACACGACATTCTTTAGTTTCAGGTGACTTAGTAACAGTTCGTGTAATTTTCCACAAACAGCAAGTTTCCTTGTTTATGACTTTGCTAAAAATGTCCTCTCTGGCTGGGTTGCTCTCTAAGTACCACCACCGCTCCCTGCCCAACTCCACTGGGCTGCCATCACCTTCACAGAAATAAAATTTTTTGAAAGTATTAAGACAAACACGGAAACATTGCCTCTTGAAATCTTTTCTGTACACTTTTATTCCCAGGCTGGGTTTCTTGTCTAATTTCATCCATAATTATTCATAATAGGATTTATGTGTCTATCTCCCATGTAGCTTATGTGATTTTTTTTAAAGGACATTGCCAGACCTAGTGTAATTCTTGGCATTCAATGAATATTTTTAGATGTTTATTATAACTTCTTTTTTTTGGCATAACTTTCTAGAATTTCAAAATCATGCATACCCCTAAATAAATTAAATTTAATGAATCTAGTCATTAAGATTTGAAAAACATACATATTTGGAAAAACACCTAGATGAGTAAAAGTTCTGAGTAGCTTGATCTTTTGTTTGCAAGGAAACAATTTAATGAGGCTTACTGTTTTCTCTCCCTACTTGATCTCCTTTGGAAACAGATATCATGAGGGTTCTTCAACGAGTTTGTAGAAAAATAGAAAGATAATACAATCTTTCCATGAACTTTTTGAAGTATCCTTGTATTTTAAAGCGATCCGGAGTTTTCAAAAAACCATATTCACTGTTTTATTAAGGATATATATTTTAATACATATTTACTTTTAAAAAGATAAAGATGCCTCCAGTATCATTTTCTTTATCATAATTTATAGTGGAATATAATATAACAACTATTAAATTTAATAACGGCAGATGGTGTTAGCTACTTTTGAAATTCTTTTCCAGCTATCCATTCAGTAAATATATATGCATCATATCACTTAAACTCTTAAGGGAATATTTTTACATGATTTTGTATTTAGATACATACTCCTGAGATTTGATAACAGGGTCCCTAAGTAAAGTCTACTGCCCCTGTTGGATTAAATGATATCCAAAGTTTTGACCTTGAAAATATGGCTCAAGGCCAATGGGTTTTGTAAGCATTTGCCTGAATTGTGTCTAAGAGATTTGTGATTCACGTGAAAGGTATTAATAATTTACATTAATCTGGCATTTTTTTGCCTTGCTTATTTAAATAAATTCATCTGTGCTAAACCTATATATGTGAAATCAACAGTCTTACATGAATGTGTCTTGAAAATTCTGCTTTAGGAGAAGGTGCTATAAAGATAAAAATAAGATTTGAATGAAATATAAGTAAATTAAAACAAATCTTTAAAACATCAGTCATAATTTGCTGACAAGCATAAGGCATAGACACAAATTTCCTCAGCATATTAATATTTCAGTAGTATACTGTAAACTAGTTAAGTGAAGAAGCTTAAAATTCCAAGGAATTTATGTGAAACTTCCCGTCTTTTATTTACCTGACTGCACTGAGGTAAATTCCTTCTTTCTTTCTGTCCTTTCCCTCTCTCCCACCTCTCTTTTTTCTCTCCCTTCCTCTGTTCCTTTCGTTCCCTATCAGGGGTTAAAACAGACAGAAAAACAATATCATTATGCATGTTGTATGCATGTATTTTATATTCAAGAGAACCCAGGTGTCCTGGAATACCACAAACGTAAGTGAGACATGTTGTAATCTTCCTTCTCTGCAATGTTGTCAGAGCTAGCGTCAGCGTGCTGGGCAAAACGTAGCAAAGTAGAAGTAAGTTGTCAATTTTTATAAAGTCTTCCTTTCTTACAGAGCCAAATGCATCGTTCTCCCTGCAAACTCTGGAGATGATGACATCTTCCCACTTGGTTTCCATAGCATCCGTTCCTGAAGATCCCCAGTGTGGTCCTTGGTCTGGGCGATCCGCCCAGCTCCCCTAGAAAGTTGGCAACCCGGCTAGCCAAAAGAAGCCTCCCTTTCGCCTGAAACTTACTCTGTCCGTGGTGCTGAAACATTCTGCCGAGACCCGCCCAGACCGGCGCTGTCAGCCGCTCTGTAAAAATCTTCCCTGACACTGCCCCCAATCAGTGCTGTGTATCTGTTATTTACTCACGTCCTCAAAGAGCAGCAAGGCTTCTCCATCTTAATTCGACTCTACCGCAGAGCAGAGTTACGCTGGCGTGATGGGAGGAGACCATGGGCAGGGAGGAAAAACTAACAGCAGCATTAGCTCACCTGAGACCTGAGATGCTCCCGTGAGTTGTGAAGGTGTTCTGCTCCTTACAGCAAAGACACCATTTTAAAATGCATTCTTCTTTTGACTTTGCCCTTACACAAGGGTTCCGTGATATTTCCGACCCCTCCGTTTAAAAGCCAGCAGATTTGATAGCAATAAGCCTTCAAAACCGGGAATTTACATTGTTTTTCAGTGGACTGACTTCCAGGACAAGGACTCATCAGCACCCGCCCAAATACCATGGCACTGCGTGCGCCCTTTGCTACCGGATCCTCCCCTTCCAATGAGACTTTCTGATTGTGTCTACCAACTCTCCTATTAGGAAACCCGTGGGTTGCATGCAGCTATTCTGTTGTAGTCTCATTCTCACTCTCCTTCCCCTCTCTCACTCGCACTGTCGTTGGAGGCACACCAGTACCATTCCGCCGAGAAGAAAAAGCCCACAACTACCTTAAGCGATTAAGGCAATATGCGCAACCCTCGCCTTTCATAGCAGTCACTATTTAAATCTTGCAAGAACGACACCAGCGCAAGAATGGACTCCGTAAAACAAAGGATTTTAGTCCCAGGAAAAGAGGGGCTAAAGAATTTTGCTGGAAAATCCCTCGGCCAGATCTACAGGTAAGAGAAAGCAAACACATGCTTACCTGGGGCTCAGGATAAAAAAAAACCCTGCAGGGCCATTTCCGTAAACCCTAATTGCTTAAAGAGATTGTAATATGATTGGAAAGTCTTTTTGTTGCTCATTGCTGGAGCGGGGGCTGCTCTGGAAACCTGCTTATTAATGCAGGAATGTTGCACTAAAAGAAACTGCTTTGTGTATGTGTGTGTGTGTGTTTGTGTATTTTTTGTTTTAGTACCTGCAGATTCACATTCTTTCCTGCCGAGGATTCACCCTCTTTACAATTAAGAAATGACCAGCACCTGTTCAAACAGTCTTTCTTTTGGTGCTCATAAACACCCCAAATCAAATTCCTTTGATGCCGACAAATGAATTTAAAAAAAAAAATACCCTAAAAACACTAACCAAGAAATTACAAAGAGTAATGGCAAAAATAATAATTAAAAAAAATCTCAGTTTCAAAACCATAGTAGAGAATTCCCCATTGGAATCTTCCTTTTGTACTGAAGAGGAATCAAAATATGTCAACAATTAATAGCTAAAGTAGTTCCTCTCTCTTAACCTGAAACAATGTACATGTATCTTTAATTATTTGCCCTCTCCTCGAAGTCTATTTCTTGCATAGGAAATGTCAGAGTGACCCTAATGGTAACCAGCAAAACTACTTTCAAAGTACTAGAAATATTGTTTTAAAATTTAATCCACCTTATAGTCACTGAACTAATTTACTAATTATGCTGTAAATTGCACAATTTAAAATCCGTTCAAGTGTTACATGAGTACATTTTTTTTTCTTACTAATATGAGCCAAATCAAGAAGAGAGGGCAGACAGAAAAGAATAAATAGTTCCAAGAGAGCACTAATTTTCACATTTGGGAAATTGAAGCTTTTGTAAATGTGTAAGAAATGTAAAAAACATCAATGTTTCTCCCAGTTTTCCAGATCTCTTGGTTCTGGTGGGCTTTATGTAGGCACCATCATGCACCTATGCGGCAGTAGATACCGCAAGGGCCCTGCAGTCCCGCAGCTACCTTGGAATGGGCTGTTCTTTCCCAGCCCAACTGCCATCAGGTGGTGAGTTCAGGTGCAGAGTTCAACTTTGCATATATAGCATTTAAAGCCAATGTTAAAAAAAAAATCAATTTGGTTGAACACTTTTCTTTCAGAATAAATCAATTGCATTTTTTTTTTTAACATCGGATTGGCCTTTAGGAATAAGCATTTACCTAGCCTCAAATTCCTTCATGACCTATTCCCCAGGTGATATTTGACAGAATTTAAAAGTCTGAAATTATTTTCCAGTATCCTCAAATTGCTTGACAGCAATATTTCAAGCTATGCCTTCTTGGAATTGATCTATAATTTTTATTTGCTTCACCCGTGTGTGTAAAAACAATCGTGCGTGCATATATTATTTAAAAGGGCACAGGTCGAAAATAATTACATGGTGGACTGGTAGAACACCTTCAAATTGTAAATTGAGAGGCTCTTTGTTTAAATGACGAAAGTATCAATCCTTAGGGGCTATGGAGATACTACCTTTCACATTCTCCGTTTTTTTTTTTTTTTAATAGAAATTTCACGGATATGTTGTGAACTAGAAAAACACTACCACCTTTAGAAAAACCATACCATCACTCCACTTTCCCCATCCTTTTTCCCCTTCCCCCAAGGACGAAAGCCCGAAAGGAATTGAATCAGAAGGGTGAGATCTTCAAAAATACTATGCAATTTTGTTTTTTTTTTAAAGTGAGGCTTTCCTCCTTGGTGTGGAACATCTTACAAAAGTTAATTTGGGGGGGCGCGTTTGTATCTCTGGAAGTCGCATTTAACATCTTTGGAAATAGGTCCATGACATTTTTTCAGTGTTTGTAACAGAGATGGTAATGACGAAAGATTGTGAATAATTAATTATTCATGTCTGGCAGTAGGAAGCTTAGGTGTCGGCCATATGCTGTGGAGGCCTTTGTTTCCAACTCGAGTAAAAGGAAAGAAAAACAAAAACAAAAAAACAAAAAAGATGCATAACAGGGGAGTAAGCCTTGAACTGGCACCCTGTGGCTGGGGGAATGGGAAGTAGAGTGCTTGACACCCAGAAATCTTTCTCAGCCTCTTCCGCGTGGGCGCTGGCCGGGAGAGGCCTTATTCCCCGGGGGCGCCCGGGCTCAGCTGGGGGGCGGGATCCCGACATCCCCAGGGAGGAAAGCTTCAACTTTGAGAAGGAGGGGTAAGTCCCGTGCTGTTCGGGGCAGTGGCTGGGCCCGCCCGCGTCCCAGCAGCCCGCAGGAGGCTGGTGGCTGGATGGCACCAGCGGTCGCCTGGGTAAAGGGCTGCTGGGGGTAGGGCGTGTAGTCGGGTGCGGGGGAGGCACCCCTCCAGTAACCCGTCCCTCGCCAGCTGTAGGACCCGTCAGAAGGTCAGGCCCAAGCTGCTGTGCACCTGAATGAAGGCGCTGAGGGGTGGATCCTGGAGAGAATTAGGGACTCCGTGTCCTAGGCCTGAAGGTATTCAAGTGGGAGTAAAGCCACGGCGGGAGGATGACAGTCAGAACATAGAGGGCCTGGGAGGAAGCTTGGAGTCGCCCCACCACCCGAACCCCGAGAGAGGGGAGAGATCAGCGCCCCTACCCCCAGCCCTGACACGTCCGGGTCCCTAACCCGCGGCGTCCTTGTCTTCCCCCCGCTCTGCGGCGCAGGGTGCTAGAGAAGAAGCAAGAGACCGGGGAGACCATCGAGCTGACGGAGGATGGGAAGCCCCTGGAGGTGCCCGAGAAGAAGGGGCCGCTGTGCGACTGCACGTGCTTCGGCCTGCCGCGCCGCTACATCATCGCCATCATGAGCGGCCTGGGCTTCTGCATCTCCTTCGGCATCCGCTGCAACCTGGGCGTGGCCATCGTGGACATGGTCAATAACAGCACCATCCACCGCGGGGGCAAAGTCATCAAGGAGGTGGGCAACGGCTGTGCCGCCCGAGCTCCCGCTCCCTGGCCGCGCGGCCTCGCAGGGTCCCGTCACCTGTTTGATCCCCGTTTTCTCCCGGTGAAAGACGAAAGCCTGGATCCTCCCTACGCCCCTCTCTAGCCCTGCCGTTCTAGAATGAACCGCTCTGCTGTCTGGGCCTTGCCTTCCTCATCCGCGTCCAGATCGCTAGGTTTTTGTGAAGAGCGATTTAATGCAAGAAATTAATGACCAACAATGTCAGCTAAATGTAAATCTAAATATTTTCCTTTTACTTGGAGGAATAGAGTAGCATATTGGCTATAATTTTCCTCTGACTTCCTCCAATCCCCACCAAAATATTCTTAATAATAAAAATGAAAACAAAACAAAACAAAAACCCGAAAACAAACCAAATCAGCTACGCGCACATCTGCAGGTTTCGCCGAGGGGCCTGTAGGAAGGTCTACCGTGCCTGTTGGAAAAGAAGCCGCAGCGCAGGACAGTCTCGGGTCACAGAATGTTCTCTCCTGTAATGTGTGTTGGGCAGTGACGCCTAGAGAGGAGAGGGTCACATCAAGGTCACAGAAACCCAGGGGTCCGGACCTTCTGATTAGGGACCTGAGTGGCCATAAACCAGACTGAGCCAGGGTTGGGAGGAGAATTGGGGAATGCTCTGTGGGTGAAAGCAGTGAGCGCCTCCTGGCTCTGGGGAGAACCTGAAAATTCGTTTGGTTTCAAAATTTTATTCAAAGGGTCCCCAGTTTCCCAGGCGGAATAAGCGCTTCCACCGTTCGGATGCAGGTATTTCTCCCCAGTTTACTTTGAGGCTCCCCTTGTGGGGCCGCCCAGGCTGGCTAGGGCGAAGTAAGGCCTCGACCTTCAGACGTACCCCTCACCCTGCACTCACTACAACCCCTGAGCAACGTCTCCCTCTCCACTGACTTCCCAAAATTCACCAAGCGACTCCAAATCTTACCGGTGCATGCCCGTTTTGCGAGGACACCCTTTCTCCTAGCCCCTCTGAACCTTGCACCTTTCCTCCCAAACTCCCCACCTTCCTTTGCCATAATTTCCCTATTTGAGTCGCGAGGGCTGGATTCCATTCTCAGAGTCACTCCTCTACTGCGTCCGCAATGGTCGGCATCACGGCTAAATGCTAAGTTGTCCCTGGCCACTAGTCTCCATCCAAAGCCGACTAACGAATCTCCGTCCTAATGTCCAAGACTGGGGCACTAGAGATTTCTCATTCATTGAGGCGATCCGACCTGCCTGACATAATCACAGAGCAAAGCCAGGGCTGCCAGCCTCGCTATTCATCACAATGCATTTCGTTAATGAGCGAGATTTTTCAGTTAGAACAAGGCTGTTCAACTTTGCTAGGTAACGAACATTAAGCCAGCCCCAGCCCCGGAACGTGGGAAGTGCCCGCTTATTGAGGGCTCTTTGGCCTGCGAGCCACTGAATGAAAGTGACTCTCCAACACTGACTCTATTCTCTCCCTCCACCCGTTTCTTCCACCCTCCACCCCCATAGAAAGCCAAATTCAACTGGGACCCGGAAACCGTGGGGATGATCCACGGTTCCTTCTTTTGGGGCTACATCATCACCCAGATCCCGGGCGGCTACATCGCGTCTCGGCTGGCAGCCAACAGGTAACGCGCCGGGCGTGGCCAGGGTCGGGGGCACAGGAGGCCGGGGGCAGGGACGACAGCCCCACGGGGTTTGGGAACTCCTGGGCGAGGTCTTTGAGTCCCTTGACACATCCTCCTGGTGTTGGAACTGCGGGTGCCTCCTTCCAGAATAAGGCGCCCCGAAAGATTCAGGCTCGCCATGGCTGGCGCGGGCGGCCTCGCCCTGTCTGCTGTGGCTGAGCCAGATCTTCACGAAATGGTAGACGTGCCTTACAGGAGGGGAGGAGCTGAGGGCCAGGGTGGGAGCGGGAGCAGCAGGACAATTAGGCCTGGTGCACAAAGGGGTGGGGACGCCACGTGCTGCGCGTCCCGCGGGTGCCCTGGCTCCCTGCGGATCTGACCTCCAGGCAGGGCGCGTCGAACTCCCGGCCCCAGAGCCCGCCCAGATGGTGCTCTCGAGTCTGAAGGATTTGTTTCTATGGAGGCAGGCGGGATGTCAGGCGCCGGGGTGCGATTCCACCTGTTAATGAGCTCCGAGGCCGAGGGGCGGGCGCTGGGGGAGGCGCTCAGCTGTTTCCAGAGGCCTCCCGCCTCGCTGCGATGGACGCAGCCAAGGTCCTAGCGCCACCTCCCAGGAGCCACTTGCAGAGACACCCCAAAGCATGAGGCATAAGGACGGAGAGGTGGGGGTGTCAAGGAGCACAGCCCTGCCACCAGAGGGTGAGGGGCAGCTTCGTTTGCTACATTGTGTGTATTTTGATAAACTAAATGCTCCTTAAGTCTGAATTGTTGAACTGACATAGAACACATTCACAGGCCCTTCCAGGTTTTGCTGCTTAGAGACCCCAAATAAAAACTTCTGGTCTTTCTTCAGACCTTGTACCTATAACTTCACTCCTCCCCCTACACCCAAAAGTCACATTTTTGAGAGGGAAGACTAGAACTAGGCGCCTCCTTAGGTATTGTCCCGTCTCTCCCACCTCTCACTGAAATCTCCCAGGCCTCATCCCGTGCCTTTTGTCACCTACAGTACCTTTTGCTAGAGGTGTCTTTATGTGCAAGGCTTTTCAGAGTTTCCAGGGCCTCGGGAGGAATTCATGGAAATTTATTTTAGGCTTAATGATCCCAGGGTGAGGATTTTTTTGGACAGTTCTTCAAAATGTCATATGGAAAGAGCAACAGATTAGGAATAATGAATGTCTTTGGAATATTGCCTTTACCTGACCACATGTATGGTTATCACTCAGACCCAGCAGGGACGAATATTCTTTTAAATAGGAATTCTTTTAAGAAAAAATCACTATGTAGAGAGACTAACTTTATGGATGTGATAAATTCAAGAAAAATTGATATTAGGTAGAAAAATATAAAGAAAATATTTCATTAAGTGTTACTAATTATGAACACGTTACATTTTTTGGTTTTCAAATCCTCTTTATACAGTGCCTTCATTTTTTTTCCCTAAGAATTATTTCCTGAAACAAAATAAACTAAGTTTCCAGAAAGACATTCCAAAAAATGTATATATAAAAAATACTTTTACTTCAGGGCAAAAAATATCTGAGAATTCACCAAAAAATACAAAAATGATACAGGAATTTTAATATGATGTTAGATGAAAATATAATTGGTGGTGCCTTTAAAGTTTTTTTCAGAGTCAAAATATTCTGCTTGCCAAG